CAGCTCCAGACAGAAAAACACTAGGATCCTGACAGACGTTCGGCCTTACTGAATGTCCTGCTGTGGTATGCCACCACTCTCTCTCTGCCAGGCGTCACCTGGGCCAGGACAGCACCTGAGCCACCACTGCTGGCATCTGTGTCAAGAACAAAAGGCAGAGTGGGATCAGGTGGGAAAAGAACTGGAGCCTCCACAAGGACTTTCTCCAGTGAGGTGAGTCCTGCCTGGCACTCTTCAGTCCACGAGAATGTCTCCCCCTTCTGTAGCATGCGGAAAAGAGGTGCAGTGATGCAGGAGAACCCCCTTACAAACTTCCTGTAATAGGAGTCTAGGCCCAGAAAACCTTTCAGGGGGTTGGCCAGTCCCTCACTGTTTGGTTTGCACCTTCTCATCCATGGTGCTGACACACTTAAACTGCCACAAGCCCTTGCTCGGGATGAAGGCAGTCTTGGGCCTGACATTGGGAGCGAGGGGGACCTGCCAGTATACGCTGCACAGGTCCAGAGAGGAGAACCAGGAAGACCCCGCCACTGTGTCCAGGGCCTCATCAATGTGCGGGAGGGGGTAGGGATCCTTTTTGGTCACTTTGTTGAGGGGTCTGAAATCCACACAGAACCTCCAATCGTCCTTCACCTTTTTGGGGACCATGACAACTGGTGAGGCCCAGGAGCTGGTGGAGGGTTCTATGAGTCCAGCCTGTTGCATCTCTCGCAGGGCTTTGTCTGCCGCCATCTGCCTGGCCAGGGGAAGATGTCGGGGTCGCAGGAACAGTAACAGTAGTTGCTAGCCGTTGATGGAAGTTAGCGAGCGGTGTAGGAAGCTCCGTAGGCAACATTTTTCTTCACTTCTGACACCAAATGTAGTGTCCTTCAATAATGAAGCTATGGGTCTTGAGCTTGTTTTGCCGGTACTTTAGTCGTTCACTTAACACGGGCTACTGTGGGCTGTAGCCAACGCTAAAACAACAAACCTTAACTGCTCTGACCGCTCTCAGCGCTATTCACAACTTCAACAACTCCTGCCGTAGACTAGCTCGCGCTTCCCAACTAACAGACAAAACAACAACCAGTCCCCACACAGGTACGTTGTCTCACATCAATCACTGTCGTAGGTTCTTGAGATAACTGACAGGCTTCACAGCCTCTAAGCATAACACACATTCACTGACAACCTGTAAAACTCAGTATCTGCAATTATGAGCCATCTACCTTAACTGCACTTAACATCCTTAACACAGTAACCCTAAAACAGAACAGTTACGTTAACATGTCACCCAGTCTGTTACAATACTAAAGACAGAGAGTAATACATAAACTTTAGAAGAGTTAGTCCGTCATTTCATTAGAGGAAGCTGAACTGGAAGTGGCTTTCTGGCATCATCATCATCATCATCACAGCCCATTTGAGATTTTAGGATGTTGTCCATGCAGTCTCCCCTTTCCATAACCAGATGAATGACAGTGTATGCTGCTCCATACATGACTTCATTCAGCTTTCACCTTTCAAATAACATGAAAAGACAAACCCCTGAGTTGAAACATGGTGGATCACAGTTAATCATATACATAAACCAGCTGTCAAGATAGGTGCAGGAATGTCTGCTGTAGTTGAGGACTGTTGTGAAAACTAAATGAACAAACTCTCCATTGTATATTGTACATAAGAACACACTTGTAACTTTTATGTGAAATAATTTGAATTTCTAAATAGAAATTCTGACATACTGTATATGAATTATCTTGAAACATAAGGTCTTCAGACTGAACAGCAGACACACTGAAGAACAGCATCAACAACTATGGTTCATTTCAAAATAACCATTTCCATGTACTTTAAAAAAAGAGTTGCAGTCAGTTGTAGTGTAACTACTTTGACCTTATTCTGGATGTTTAATCTTCCAGTCTACAGAACAGTAAATCAGTCCTGTAACCTGTAAATGATACCAGCCCAGCAGGGCCAGGTCTCATAGCAAATGCAAAGTTATCAGCTATTGCCAGGACTAGCTAGCTAGCTTGGTTAGGTGCTGTAGGTGCATCTGTACTTTACTGTGACTGTGATATTTATTTGGATGCTAATTTTCACTGGCGAAAAACAGGCTTCAAACAAAATGTACTTACCAAAAAAATTTTGATGAACTGAAAACACAAAGTAAGGTCAAAGCTCTGACGCTGTATCCTGATTGAGAGGCAGGTCGCTGTGCGTGTCTGTCAATCACATGGTCACCACGCCCTAATGCAGAACCTGCTTTATCGTTTAATTTACTCTAATTTACAAAATGAACATTTGAAACTAGCTGAGACCAATAACTCATTAGGAAAATGTTTACTGAGGTAATAAATCAAGTAAGAAGTAGGGTCATTTTCCCATAGACTTCTGTACAAACTGACTTCTTTTTGCAACCAGTGGAGTTGCCCCCTGCTGGTCATTGATTTTTCAGACCTAAATTCTATCTCTATTTTGTACAGACTATACTGAAGAATCAGACAAATCAATACCCTGACTTTTCTTACAGCTCTGAGCTCTAGTCAGCACATTAACAGTGAACACATCAGGATGACGTTGTGCAAGGTCATCACATTCAACTCAAGCAATGGGAACATCAACTGCCACAGGAGCAGGGTACCTGTGTGGTCATTTCCCATGATGAAATCCACACCATCAATAGGACAACAAGGGCAAAGAAACTTAGACTGAACATGAGCTTGGGGGAGTAGTACAGGCACTCATTCCAAACATTTGGTCACTGAAAAGCGGTAGCAATATGGTCAAACACACCAATGTAGGACTAAACAACGACCAAGGAAACACTTTCCCTCACATCAAACACTGCAGTAGAAATAGATGGCAAACACGCAGCAGCAGAAGAGGGAACCAAACCTGACTGCAGCTTTAACATATCTGTCTCTGCCTCTGCCTCCAGTTTCTCTCTCACTCTTGCTCTGCCACACTTTCAATCTGCTACTTTTTATACCAGGAATAAGAGCATGCCCCTCACCTGAGGATCCGATGGCCATACCCCCAGCCAGGAGATGCTGGTATGTTGAAAACCTCTTTAGTAACTAAAACCTCCAGAAGAGCCACTTTCAATTCCCTTTCAGTAAAAGTGCTAAAGACTGGAAAACCATGACATTGAGTTATTTCACCCAAATTAGCTTTTCTACACCGCAGACTCACCCAACACGCTGTGGTCATGTTCACTAAGTGACACACAGGACAGCAGCGAAACATAGTCTGGCTAAGCTAACTTAGCTAACTTTACAGCTGAAGCAAAGGCTGGGACTATGGCTACTTAGCCCAACGCAACAACCTAGCTCATTACAATAGTCCACACCTACAATGACAAACACGATAAGACTGATGTCAGAATACACACTATAAAACTACAAACTATCTTAGTTCCTGCCTGACCCAAACCTCACCTGACTGTGTTCTGGAGCATGATGGGCTCATGGCTGAACTTCAGAGACTGAGGCCCTGACAGGAAACTGGATCCTCGTCCAGGATTACTCCTGGCAAAAAAACAAAAGCAGACAGACACCATGTTATTTTTAGAGAGCACGTACTTCCTTCAAGGTAGAAAAATCCTCTGATCTGTCTTTAAATCTGATCCAGATCCACAACAAAAAACTATCACTAGTTCCTTGCCCCGTGATCTAAATTTCCACAAAATTTTACTGGAATTTGTTACAATTTTAGTTAGTTACTTACAAGATACTTACATATTTAAGTTTGGTTTCAAGATGGATTTCTGTTCATTTTTTTAAGTATATTTTTTTGGGCTTTTTATGCCTTAATTGATAGTGCAGTAGAGAGATACAGAAAATGGGGAGGCAGAGAGAGGGGGAATTACATGCAGCAAAGGCCGTCCGATGCGGGACTTAACCGGGCCAACTGCAGCGAGGACTGTAGCCTCTACACATGGGGCGCCTGCTTAGACCACTACGCCACACGACGCCCCAAGGATTTCTGTTCATTTTACAAAGAGGAAGTACAGACACATCTTTGTCCCCATGTGAGTCTTTAGAGGTTATTGGCTGTTTCTCCTGTTTGTCCCACACAGGCTGCTGTGAGGTGGGATTTGTTGCTGAGTCACTACTAAAACTGAGGCTGCCACAGGCACATTCATTTTCAGTGTGTTTTCAGTAAGATTGCTTGAATTGTCAACATGCACTTACAATTGTGTGTTCACTTTCTTGTTATGGGGCAGCTACATATTTCAGCAACTACATGTTGCTATGGTGCAGCTAGGATTTGAATTAGAGCCATTCAGCATAGGTTCTTTTAGAGATGTGTCATAAATTGATGTGTGTCATCTGGTTCTCCAGTGACCAAGAGCCACCCTCCTCAACACAGGGCCACAGAACTGGGTATTAAAGTAAGACTGTTATCATATCTGGTGATATTGTGCTTTAGTGGTGCATATTCCCAAATAGATTTTCTATTAATTAAGAGAAAGTGATCTTCTGTTTGATTGGTTGAGCAAAATTTAACCCACCCAGCCACCATAGGAATTACATATACAGTTATTGACAAAAAATAAATAATAAAATATAATAGTAAATAAAACGTTTAAACAGACGATTAACAGAAAGGTATACTGTAAATGTGAATAAAAATGACCCAGCATATATCTCATTTGGGAAACCCAGTGGAACTCAAATGGAAACCCATGTTCAAAGACTGGACTAGAGGGTTCCTGCAGGATCCCTAATTTACATGTCCTCTTTCCCAAAAATGTGAAATATAATATTTCAACACCCTGTCCTGCATATGACTTTATTGACATGGGTTAAGGTTATTGTCTTGAGTTCGTCCTCTCACACAGAGGTGTGGCTTCATGTTTATGTGGAGGGCCCAGCAGCCACAGATGTCCCGTGCAGAGCTGCAGACTGGGCAGCAGCAGGACTCCCAGCCAGGACGGCCGTGATGGGAGGGGCGGACAGAGCAACCGCCGCAGCAGCAACAGCAGCAGCAGCCGCAGTCTGGGGTCCAACATCTAGCCTACTCCTCGTTGACTCACTGACCCCCCACTTCTAAAACCTCCGGCCCCCAAATGTTCATGTGCTTTTTAACGCTGTTCCGTGAAGCAGAAAGCGGCAGAGCGAAGTGAAGTTGACGGAGTGACCGAGTCAGCGGCTGGAAGGTGTTTTTGTTGATGTTTTTCCTCTTTGGCCCGGAGTACCCGGTAAACCAGGAAAATTGCTTGGTGTAGCTGTATCGGAGAGAAGGCTCGGGAGGAGGTGAAACTGCGGGACATGATGACTGAGAAACAAACGGCGGCAGAGAAGATAATAACAGGTACAATCAGTCCGTGACCTCTAAACTGGGGCTTCGTAGTTTATAGCGGCGATTATGTGATTTCTGAATTAATGCAATTGCAGTGCGCAGATCGTGCTTTGGTGTGGCTGTCCGTGGGACGCGTTCACGGTCACTGTGGGGGGATTTGTGAGGTTAGCAGTTAAAGTAAAGGCACACAAGCTGTTGTTTCATTACGATATGATTGAATCTAAACCGTCTCTCCGACACCTCTACTGCAGTGCAGGGAGGCTGTACAAGCCATGAAGCAGCTTTCAAAGGACAGCCGCAGTGCACAGGACCTCGCCTACCGGCCTGCTCAGAGCCACGCTCTGCACACCAACGCCATCATATTACCACTTTATTAGTTTGGCCCGTTTGTTCCAGATGATCGCTGACGGTGTGTCGGCTTTGTCATTTTAAGCTGCAGTACATACAGCTGAGATCGTTCCCCTAAATCGGTGCAGAGTTGGGTCACATGGCCCGTCCCACAGGAGTTGTGACTCAATGCAGCAAAAAAGTCTGCACCATGTCCTCAGGTAACGCAGTGTTCGTCAGCCGCCCAGACCCCGGAGAACACTCACCTGCATCTCACATCACTGTCATTAATGTCCGGCCTTTCTGTAAGGAGCATGTGTCTTTAGATGAGAAGTTTCCCCTGATATCACTTTCTCCTGTCTTGAGGACATGCGGTACTGTAAGGACAGTCAGCCGAACTCCTTTGGAATTTCTCTAATTTTATTGTTGCTCAGTTGTTTCAAAGCACAAACATTTAGTAATTCCGAATCATGATGTAAAATCTTTTACAAGCACTTCCACTGTACAATTCGGCATAGACTCATTACACGGAGAAGCATTGATTTTTAGCATATTTAAACATTTATGCTTCTCCATCATTTCACGCCATAACCCTCTGCTGAGGGCGATAGTGAGCTATGTGTGCCATTCCTAGAAGCTATGAATTAAAAAAATGCTGCCAAGTGGTTCGCTTGTACCTATGCTTTGTTTCAATTGTTATACTGATTTGTATGACTTCATATTTCTTTCTTGAATAGGGTTTTAATTAGCCAAAAAAATACTGTCTGGTTGGTTTGAAGTTCTTGCCTCACAAGAGGTACTAGGACGAATCTTGGCAACACTCCAGCGTTATGTAATGAAAGTGATGGACTGCCATAGAGACCTGATGATGTCCTACAGGGATGGGAGCTAAATACCAGACTTTGTGTCACTCCTGAAGCTAAAATGCCTGCCTGTGTTGTTGAAAGCTGAACCTCTGACTGTGTTTTTAAAACCAAGTCAAATAGTTGCGGATGAGGTGCTTTTTTCCATCAGTTTCTTTGTCGTTTTTTCCTGCCTCTGTAATTCTGTCTGTCCTTCACCCATCATCAGTACGTTTCTTGCTGAAATACCTTTATTAAAGTATAACAGGAAAACCAAGCACGATAATCATAGGTCACAGCTTCCAGAGTTCAAACTGTTGATGCAGTTGCTTTGAGTGATTGTGATTTTTGCTGAGCAACATTAATGCAGTGTCACTCTGCTGATCATGCTCAAATGAAACTCCATTAGCTTGCGGGAGGCTGTCATGATAAACAACCGGCATCTCTCATGGTAAAAGACAACACTCAGCTCAGTGTAAAACTTGAGAACATACGACATCTGGCTAAGTGATTTTTCTATCTGGGGATTTGCATGACATTTCAGATTATTTAAAACCACTTCTCATTAGATCCAATATGGCTGAGTTTCAATGTCTAATATTATTTACTTTGGAACGCAAGAGCTTAATTTGTGTTTATCTTGTATTTTGCAGCAGCACTTTGAGGTGAGGATAAAACAGGCCTTTGTTCATGATTAGTTCAAGTTGATATGCTGGCTGTGTATGAAGGGAAGGCTCTTTTAATCTCATTGTCCATACAGTGAACCCTGATGCTTATAGTCTGTAGCTGTATTGTGTCCAGTTTACTTCTGCCAAATATAGACAAGTTCTTTTTAAAGTGCAAAATTACTTAATCTCAGTCCCTCTCCATTGCAGGAAGTTAAGAAGCATTACATGTATTCGTTGTCACATGTTTTGTTTTGCTTTTCTCCATGCTCTTTGGCAGCGAGTTCCTGGAACTAAATTTGGTTCTTGTTCAGGAGATGATGGTGAAGGGGGCTTTAATCCCTCCAAGCTGCTTGTTGGATGGTTGGATAACTTTGGAAATCCCTTTATGTGCTTTCTTGACGAGTTGGTTCAAATTGCTGGATACTGTTTTGATCCACCAACCAACTCATGCCTGCAACATAATCCTTTCTTCATAGTTTTCTGTGCAACAGTCACTTACTCCAGCTGCCCACTAAACAGCACATTAATATTATTGTAATATAACTGTTATATATATAAAAGCACAGTGCATTCACAAAGTCCTAAGACCCCTTCGATCTTTTTACATGTTGTTATGTTGCAGCCTTTTGCTAAAATAAAAAAACCCTCATCAGCCACAAATTTATTCAAAGGTAAAAAATGAAGTATCACATTGACAGTATTCAGTATTCAGACACTTTACTCTGACTTTCTAAATTTAGCTCAGGTTCCTCTATTTCTCTGGATCATCTCTGAGATTTTTCTACACCTTGACTGGAGACCACCTGTGGTAAAGTCAGCTGAAGACACACCCCTGTCTATATCAGGTCTCACAGCTGATGATGCAGCACAGAGCAGAACCGTGAGGAGGGGAGAAGAAGGATTGTTTGTAAAGAAGCAGCTAAATGATTCTGAGACTGAGAGAAACCAGATTCTCTGGTCTGATGAGACCATGACTGCCATGACTGAAGTGTTTGGTCTTAGCTCTAAGGGTCATGTCTGGAGAAAACCATACACCGCTCATCACCTGAACACAATCCCAACACTGAAGCATGGTGGAGGCAGCATCAGGCTGTGGGGGGACAGGCAGATTGGTTAATGAAAACCTGCTCCAGAACTCAGACTGGGCTGAAGGGTCACCTTCCAACAGGACATTGATCTGAAGCTAACAGCCAAGACAACACAGGAGTGTTTTAGAGACAACTGTGAATGGCCTTGAGTGGACTAGTCAGAGTCCTGACTGAACCCAGTCCAACGTCTGCAGAGACCTGAACATGTCCCCATCAACCTGACAGAGCCTGAGAGGATCTGCAGAGAAGAATGGCAGAAATTAACCTAACCCAGGTGTGAAAAAGCTCTAGTGCCTGGCCCCTTCAGACTGGAAGCTGTATTCACTGACAAAGCTACTTCAACTAAGAACTGAGGAAAGGGTCTGAATACTGATGTCAATGTGATATTGCAGTTTTTCCTTTTTAATACAATTGCAGAAGTAAAATGTATCATCAGTAAAATCTATGTGCACACATCCAAATAAAGCAAACAAACACCTCACCAAGGATTAAAAGGAGCTGTCAGAGAGGGAAATACAGAGCAGTGGTGGTGGTAGGATCTCATTTTTTAAAAGTAGAGAATTCTAGGTATCCTTGCTGGAAGTGGTTCATGTAACAGTGGAAAGTTTCCCAGTTTAATTTCAAATTTTTGATAACAAAATCATATAGAAAAATTATTTAAAAGTCCAAATTGCTGAAATTGTTAAATAAAGTAAATTTTAGACCCCGACTGCAGATCAAAGACCAGGAAGGTGATGTTACTACTGTTAATATGGTGGCAAGTTGATGCACATTAGTCAACGACCTGACCACTTGATCAAATGTTACACTGACTTCATGAACAGTTTCATCATGTTGAGAAGATTGCAATCCAGCTTTCAGTTCCATCAGCACAAGCTGTCCAGGTTCAACAGGCTGCCTCTGTCATGTTTCTATGTAAATGCATCACAGGTAAAGAAGCGTCAGGAGAGTGGATGATGAATGAAACTGGAAACCTTTAAGGTGGAATGTTTTCTTGTGTGTTACTCAATGCACGAGTTGATGATGTGAATCAATCAATACATCTTGAAGTTTGACAACTTTGACCATATCATCTGTTTTTATTGACTCTCTTGCAGGGGCGTTTCTAGGAATTTATAAAGTCTGGGGCTGAGGTCAGTGTGTGTGTGTGGGTGTGTGTGTGTTTGGGTGGTCCCTGCTATTCTGCCTGGCTGCTGACTTTGGTGACATGGTGTGTGACTGATGTGCATGCAGACTCATGCTCATGCAGTTTAGATGGGGAGAGTGTAACCCAAGTTACCAATATTCCCCAAACACCTCACAGGTGTCTGCACACAGAGACGCCTCTGGTCTCCACTCAGTTACTGCAGCAGCTCAGACAGGCGAGGAGCATAAATAAGGTGTTAGGTTGAAGCTGGGTGGGTTGGGCCAACTAGAGCCTCTGTGTGGGAAACAGAGCTCTCCTCTCATTCAGCATTTGAAACCAAACATTTGGACTAGGGCTGCACAATTAATGTAAATATAATCAAAGTTGAATATGGCCAAGTGCAATTTAAAAAAAGAAAAAAAAAAAGAAAAAGTTATTTCCACATATTGTATGATACATTGATGATGTAATTATGATGACAGGCCCAGATCAGAGCTCTGAGAGATTACCACTGTCTGATGTCTGTGAGCTGAGCTTGGTTTCATGTTATGACAGGTATGCAGTTTTGAAGCTTCCAGTCTGAATGAGTTTGATAGAAAACATTTACTTCATTTACACAACAGTGTCAATAAGTAAGTATTCAGACAGACATTTGCCCTATGGTAAAACAACGTGTGGGGTGTGTTTCCTGTGTGGGAGGTTCAAGTGGAGGAATGGACTTCCATGTGTGCTTGCAGATATGTGATTAGCGAGTGCAGCCAATGTTCCACTATTTTGCCTCATGACAAAGCCTCACAAAATGTTTCTTCAAATCGCTAAAGCATCACATGAAGCTGAGGGCAGTGATTCAGTGCTATGATGCTACTGCATTAGCCTCCCTCAAAATCACAGGAATCATGCTTGATTCCCGTTTTGAACACACTGGGGGTATCTATCTATCTATCGATCTATCGATCTATCG